TAATAATATATAATAAATAATAATAACAGTAGTAATAGACAATAATAATAATAATAATAATCAAATAATAATAATAATAATAATAATAATAATAGTAATAACAATAATAACAATAATTAATAAATACATGCAGAGAATCTAAATTAAATTTAATCAAATTAAACCAAATGGTGAACCATATATTTGTTAAAAAGAAATATTTCCAGATTTTAGGGATTTATGCTGAATAAAATCGTAAAGAAATTTCTCTAATCCTTATTGCAGTGATACTGTGCTATGTGCAACACCTGCTACAGTACTTCCAAAGTATGGTAAGGTAAGCTTTGAAGTAAGGCGATTATCGAACAGATAATTGTAGACTGTGCTATTCTGAGGACGTACTGAATTGTATCTCATATAATTTATCCCCATACAATAAAGTAGTTATTTAGGAGATAAAGGTAGCACAAACCTTCCTAAGTACAGCGAAACAATTGATTCAGCGATCCATAATTGAGTTGTTTCCTTTCCACTACATCGAATTATAACAATTTGACGCCTCCCTGCCTCTTCCCATCTTCCCTCCGATGACCTTCAGCGATTTACATGCTCATTCAAGTAAGTTCAAAATGTCTCAGAGAGTGCCACCAATAAAATAATCCTACTTCATTGTTATTATGACATATGTTAATAATTAGTTTTAGATTCCTGGACTAAAAATTTGCGCTCTAATCTAATCGTTTATGAATTCCATTGTTTTAAAGCCCCCAGCTATTCCTTCTTGCTCACTTTATTTACAAAAGCAATAAAATATGTGAATGTAAATTTCAAAATTTTCCTCATTTAAATTGATTCCATTGTGATTTTAAGTGGTTTTTCTTTTTTTTTTAAAGCAAATAAAATTATAGCGAAAACGTTGCATGAGCCATATCGTACCAATCACAATTCTTTCTTCTGCACATTGTCATTGGCCATAAAATAAGCTAACATCTTTAGATAAGGCTGAAGTCTCAACATCGACTAAACTGTTTCGAACCTATCATAAAATTTATTGGGTAAGCGCAAATTTTGAAAGGAATAAACAAATTCGGTTTTTCCAAAAATGTTTTTGTTATAAAAACTTATGTTCAAGGACCAAAAATTAAAATGAAATTTAGTTTTCACAAGAAGCACGGAAAATCCATTAAAACAAACGCCATATATCATTCTGGAAGAGAAGAAATTAAAAAAATTGGAAAATCAAAGATTACATTCGGCGATAAGTTTCATGGCACAAGAGAAAAAATTTTTCGAAGTTAAAAACTTCGTCATAATTATGTAATAACTTGATAAAAAATGAAATTCATTTTCGATCAAATTCAAATGCATTTTTTAACTGTTTTCTTTTCAACTTGTTTAATACTTGCTGCATAGCTTGTGACATATTGAGGTAATGTAAACACTTTCTTAAATATGCAAAAATGCAGTTCAGATAAAATGAACTAACTTCATTCCTAATAAAAAAAAAAGAAAAGAAGATTGGAACATTGAGAGGATTAAGATCTTTTAGAAACACTAAAATCTATTATATTTGGTCAATCAGTTTTCATTAAATGCTAATATTTGCCTCTCTACATTTTGAATTTCCTTCTTTTTTTTAAATAAAAATTTCATAATTTCATACAACTCATATTTTCTTTCTTTTTTTTCTATCGACATCGATTAGATTTTGAAACAAAGGAAAAAATCTGAAATGTCCTTTCAGTTTTCCTTTATGTCCTTTCTTCGAAAACGAACCCTCCCTTTTTCAATGAAAAAAAAAACTGTTGCAATTCTATGCAAATTTGGTTTTTTTTTGGGATAATTTAGGGTGATGACTAACGGATATGCATATTGGTTTTTTTTAGTGGGTTTGCAGAATATAATTTCTTTGTTTGTCCTCAATTAAAATGAACGAATGTCGCCATTTAGTGAATTTCCAAATATTTAATTGCTATCTCCTAGTTCATTGCCCGTTCATCCAATGACCATTCGTTTATTCACTGATGTACTTCTTTTTTTAGACTGCTCAAATGGTTATCTGAACAGTTAAGTCGATTTTGCTTTTTCCGTTGCTAAAAAAGAATTAATTCATAAAATGTGATAAGCCAATCACTGTCGTGAAATTTTTGTAATAAGAAGTTTGAAATGACATCATCTGAAAGCCCATTTTTGTTTTGAAAGTTTGGATAACCTACATTGGTGCATAATTGAAAGAATGAAATTAGCGCAAATAAAGTGAAAAACAAAGAGAAAAGGATTTTACCGAATATTTGACAGTGTTGTAAATTGTTTTACCAAAGTCTGCATGATATAATTCATTTGAAGTAATCCGACTGATAATTTCAGGTAATACTTTTCAAATTTTAAAAGTATCCGAGTTACGTGAAGTTAAGAAAAACAGACCAATTAGCTTGAGCCTCAAATAAGCCAAGTGGTCGGTCGAGGCTATCTCTGTCATTATTTAGCGTGAGAGAATCCTTTCTTTATCGGAGAAATCCCATCCAGCAGAGGACAGTAATTGTTAATTGGTAGACAGATGGATAGGACAACAGAGGACACGGCATTCTCAGATACCAACTGACCGACTCAAATGACTTTATATTCCTATTATTTCAATAATTAGGAGAATTACCTGGGAGTATTGCAATGGACAGATAAGAGAAGCTTTATTTCTTTCCCTAGCTTGAAGCTTTAGAATTACTACTATTGTTCTGGGGCAACAAATAGCACCAGAGCTTCCATCATCTGTAAAGAAGCTGTTTCTCAAAGAAAGCAGACAGAGCTCTAACCTCAAATCAGCCAAATGATCATTGATACTAGAAAGATAATGATATTGATGTCTGCTGATAAATCACATCAATTCCCCTCGACCGCCACTTTTTTAATGAAAACATTACATTTAAGAGGAATATGCGACGAACTACACGTACATGCTTTTGGCGGGTCAACATCACAACGTAGCTCTATATCAAAGATTTCAGAATTAGCTGGAAACTTGATTTCATTTCGAAAATGACCGTTGATTTCAACTTATCTTCTCGATTGGGTATTAGTACTAGACTATTGGATAAGGAAGAAAGAAAAGTAGACTCAAACAAGTACCACACTTTGGGAAGGAAAAAATCATTGATAAATAAGAGATGGTTGTTATCTTTTAATGACAAGGAATTTTGCTGCTCATACTTAGCCAGATCTGAACTTCAATTCGATCAATCAGGAAAGATAGTTCATTTTATGCCTTAGTAAAAAAAATAAAAAATGACACTCCATGATAAGGCAAACTGATAGTGCCATGACAATGGCTAATATTAAAGTTTTCAAATAACATCAATTGATAGCGAGTAATCTTGTCACAGTGATGAAGATCACATCCAATCAGCAAAGTTTCTGCTTCTTAGAAATTCGAGACGAGCAATTTGCATACTGTGGCGAAGTCCGCATAAAGTAAGTCAACGAGCGTGAAATTGCGCGAAAAAACATGACTACGCTCATACTCTCATTTGTTTTTTGCTGTCCTCTTCTATCTCGCGTGATTGTACAAGTTGTGGGCGTAAATTAGTACTGGGAATCAGCTCACCGGGATATCCCGTTGTGCCATTGTCAACTCCTGAGTGTTAATATTTACAAGGGAAATTTGGAAGCTTTACAAATTATAAAAGTGTTTCAAGACAGTGCACATAGCGGTTTGAGAGTTGAAATGTTTGGAATTAAAAGATTTCCAGTGTTAATGGATATCAATTGCATATTTTAACACAATTTCTGTTTGTAAAAAGTGTAATAGAAATAAGAAATGTTTGGATAATTCAGTCTTACTTCTGCTCTGTTTCCTATAATACCTTATATTCCATAGAATTCTTTATTCTACGCCACATTAACGCCACATTACATTATAAGAAAACTATCCCTACTACACTATGCTATTATCAAGTATATTTAATTTTCTTATTCTATGCTTTATAATAATCTCCCAATGCGCTATTTTGAAGTTAGCATACCAGAGAAAATTGAAAGAGGAAGTGAAATTACATTTAAAAATTCTCTCTGAATGTCCCTTTTTATATTTTTATATGGTGGAATGCTAACAGTTGAAAGCCAAGAAAGTATGCCTTGGTTCGATAACTAACGAGATTGTCAGTGTGAGGTCAGCCATGAAACAATATTTGGTTGGTATGTAGGAATGATTTGATCGTTAACAAAGATGCCGTTCATACGGAAACAACAAATATATTCGTGATAAATGCACATACTTGTAATTGAGTTTTGTGTGATATACACACACACACACACACACACACACATACACACACATACACACACATACATACAGACACATACGTGCAGACACATACATGCAGACGAGTACATGCAGATACATGCATACCGACATATACGTACGTACACATACACATACACAAATACATAAACATAATACACGCACACGCGTATGTTGGTTTGTTGATGGATATTTGGGGAACAATTTCTCTTCCTTGAGGACAGACTCATACATTATTAAACGTTTTTTTTGTTTTGCCGAATGAATTGATAACGGGAGCGGAGCGGTTAGCCTTGAACATGTCTGTTATCCAAAATAAGGAGTGAGTTTTGTGATGAAAAGTACCGCGAATAATCAGACCGAAGATTTGATATGCTGTAGGAAAAGAAAAAAAAGTTGTTGCTTCGAAGGTAGTTACGAAAATTCAATTTAAAATGTGAATGTCCTGGATTACCTGATAAAAATGATTTCACGCAAGATAAAAATGATTTCACGCGATAAGACTGCTTGATCCTACTCAAGATAGCCCATGCAAGCGAGAAATTGATATATGAACCATATAAGCAGCTTATTTAAATTTTGGATTTTTTGAATTTTTTTTCTAAATTTAAAATTTAGGATTTGACACGTAAGATGTTTAGATACTTTGCACCCTAAAGAAAAGGTGTCTTCTCAAATATTTTTACTTATGGATTACCTGTCCAGTATTTTTAATTATTTTCTAGATGCATTACACCGGTGGTTATTTGAGCTATTCACATGTCTTAGCAACTTGTCCCTATGATACTGCTATGCCGCTGCGTGATCATGAAGAATGCCGCATACAAGTAAGGCATTGTCACTTTATTTTTAGTTCATCCCGATTCTTGAATGCCTGTCGATAGCCTTATTCCTTTTTTCATACTCTCATTTGATTTAAAACGAAAGGGGAGAGGTAGGAGAGAAGTTGTTCGAATTTCATTCCCATGAACTTATTCAATCGATTCAGGCTGTTCTCCAGTCTTTCATTTACTTTTGCTGTAACGGCATTTCGTCAAATAAGTTTTACTCATTTCAGAGTTGCATAAGGATGGAACAGGGAAATTGGATAGAAGAGGATGAGTCGGCTTTTCGAAAAAACTTTTTTCTCGGTATAGG